ATTTTGTGAGGTGGAATTTTTATTTGATCCCCTTCTAATCATAAAAATGCATTTAAAACCTTAAAAAAATAATAAGAATTTTTCGAAGAAAAATTCCGAGTCTCATTTTGTAATTCTCGAAAAATCGAGGGTGCATCAGCATTTTATTTCTCCGATTACGCCACAAAAAAGCAATAGTCGACAGTATCATTTTATACACGCCTTGTTTTACTGGATACCCATCGATAATGACCGATAGCGAGAAAATAATGCTATGCAACACTTCAGATCATCCTAAAACACTGTTAGTCGTTCCGATATCTCGTGATCCGATGATGCCTCGTCGCTTTTTCTCCACCAATTTTATTGAGTATCTAAATTTTTTCGCTTCATTTTTCCGTAATCTACTGAATAACAATTTTGTCCTAATTCAATCACATTCTCTTCTGCAGTCGAAAACAATCACTTTCCTGCAACATATTAAAAGCAACCTATTATTTGTGATAACGGATGAATCTTATGAATAACAACCATATATCTGATGCATAAAAATCATTTAATTTAACAAAAACAGAAAAAATTGCAAACACAGGCAGTGCTGTTCAATAATTATGAAACTGAGCATATTCTTGACTTATCAGCCACAGCTTTCATCTTTCTAGCTACGCTTTGATCATGAACTATTTTTACCACGTTTAACAAACTCTTTCGCTGTTCTGCTTTTTGCAGTCGTATCGTCCGAACCATTTGCTCCATCAGTTGCAGCGCTCCATCGTAATTCTCGACTGACAGAGATAGATACTTGCAGTCGGGTCCAAACAAATCTGCCATTCGCTGTCCCTGAAATCGTAAAAAAAACGTGCATTTTTGGTTTTTTGAGAATGATGGACACAAAAATAGTGGAGTGATGCGCCCTGTGCAGCCGTTTCCAGCGAATGCTTGTGTAATTCTGGCCGATGAACGCTTTTGCAACCTTGCCCACTTGATGCTTATGGGGAACCTTGCTGTCAAAAGTGTTCACTGCATTACCGCTTGATACGTTGCATGCTAATTTTGATGCCAAAACCTTACTGTTTGTGATTTTAGTTATTATGCGTTTCTGCTGCAAACACACACACAGCGCTATAGCGTTGCTACAGCCAGCAACCTAGTAGAAAGCGTACCGACTGCCGGTACGAGGATGCGTTTTTTGCACAGTTCCCCCCGCAGGCTTTTTTTGCCAGCGGCACTTTCTTCCTGGCAGATGCTTCTAGCTAAAAGAATTGTGACTGGCCATCACAACTGTTAGAAATTATTACAATGGCTCCCAATCCATGCCCAGGAGATCCAG